TGCTCCAAACACATTTTTAACAACCTTTTTTGATTTTCTAAATTAACCGGTCTAAATTAATTAAAAATTATAGTAATTGAAATTTGCCTGAACAATTTTTGATATGTAACTTTATTACTTTTGAACTTTATTGTGGGATAAAAGCAGTTTTTCATCTGCTATATATTAAACAGCCCTGACGTCTTTTAATTCATATTCTCGTTTGTGCTTTTATCTCAGTCAAGCAAAAAGCTGGTCTTCAAACAAAAACGTCAAAGCTTTGTCGGCACGGTTCATTTATTACATCCAGTGATGTTTTTTAAATTTTTGTATATTGTCTTCAATGAATAAACACTGATGTTGTCCGAGTCATTGATCCTGTTTAATTGTAAATGTATTTTTCAAAAAAAAAATTTGTACGGTACATTATTTCGATACATTGATAGCGTCATTATTAGGATAATTACCTAAGATGAACCACCGAAGGTCTTGCTATAGGCATACGGTAAGATTATAGGGAATTGTTGGATGTATTTTGAACTGTCTTGAATACTGTTTTAAAGTAGTTTGAAATTGCTTATTTAACCTTTGAAGGCGTTAGATAGAATTACAGAACGACTGGAAATTTCAAAGCATTTCGAACCTTTATGCGATATTACTTTAAATGTCAAGCCTGTTCTAGAAAACTCTTATTAGTTTATCCAGGCAATACAATCGGGGATTTAGAAGGAAACAAGTACTTTTAGTTTTTGTGAAATTCCACATAAATGATTGTCATCAAAAATTAATAACTGAATACATGTAGATGATACACATAATCTAACTAAAACTTTTCTTGTGTGATACTTTTACGTTTTAAGCAGTTTTTATACATCTTTTACTATTCTAAGGGTTATGAACCTTTCAGCGTATGAACCAGTTATCGCTTTAATTGGAAAGCGAACCTTTGAAAATATACTAAGTGCATAGATACGTATTTCAGTATGTAAGTTTCTTGATTCTTGTATCGACATTTAAGAGCCCTTAGGGGTTTGAAATATTTTCACAAGAAGGTAAATTTTTATATTTACATAGCGCCTCCACCGTGTCAAAAAAGTGAGTTTTTGTTTATGGTGCGATTCAACTACCTTTTGTATAGTTACAAATGGGATACAATTACTTTAATCAAATATCGAAAGTGGATTATACGGTTTCAAATAATTACTCAACAATTTAACTGTTAAACAGTTAATTAATAATTTAATA